GTCTGCCAACACATGACGAAAGGTGCTCTGCAGCTCATCCTAGATGTAAGTCTTTTGAGAGTTGGTTGATGCTCTGTCTGGATTAGTTGCATTAACAGGGGGATACAATCAAGATCAAGTGAGGTACTAATGCCACTTTCTAAAGAGTTAGTGAGACCACACCTAGAATACTGCATCCAGTTTTGGTCACTACACTATAAAAAGATGTTGAGACTCTAGGAAAAGTGCAGAGAAGAGCAACTGGGATGATTAGGGGACTGGAGGCTAAAACATATGAAGAACAGTTACAGGAACTGGATATGTCTAGTCTTATGAAAAGAAGGACTAGGGGTGACATAATAGCAGGGTTCCAATATCTCAGGGGCTGCCACAAAGAAGAGGGAGTCCAGCTACTCTCCAAAGCACCTGAGGGTAGGACAAGAAGCACTAGGTGGAAAATAATCAAGAAGAGAAGCAACTTAGACCTGAGGAGAAATTTCCTGACAGTTAGAACACTTGGAACAACTTGCCTCCAGAAGTTGTGAATGTTCCAACATTGGAAGTTTTTAAGAAGATGTTGGATAACCATTTGTCTGAAGTGGTGTAGGGTTTTCTGCCTAAGCAGGGGGTTGGAATAAAGACCTCCAAGGTCCCTTCCAACTCCTCTATTCTATTCTATTCTATTTTATTCATCAGCTTCCAGGTTGACACAAACCTGTGTTGTAGCAGACCTGCTCTGAGAAGGGGCTGCTTTGTTTCTTTTCAGAGATAATGCATTGGAATTTGATAAAAGTAAAATTCTCCCTAAGGTTCTGGATCCACAACAAGACCAGGATGAAGAAAATGCTGTTATCATCATGGAAGAAACAGAGAAGAAGAAAAAGAAATTGCCACCCCAAAATATGGTGAGTACAATTATTGTGAACGATAGTTGTCATACGGTCAAAAGTCAACAAAGCAATATTAAAAATAGGCTGCGACTAAAGCAAGGAGGAAGTACAAATTAGATCCTGCCTAAATAGAATTGTTTCTAACCCATCACACAGACAAGTTGGGAGAAAGAAGTGCAGACATTGGAATATTGGTTGTAAAATATATAGAGTGCTCATTGATACTCAGCAATCTCTGGAATTCTTTCATTATTGTTTTATAGTTTGGCTACACTAGGTGAACCTTCATTTATTTTGGGAAATAGACTCTTGAGTATTTTGTTTTGTCATCCGAGAGAGGCCTGACAGCTATGGTGTGGCTCAGAGGTTAAAATGCAGAACTGTAGGCTGCTTCTGCTGCCCGCAATTTGGCAGTTCGAGTCTCACCAGGCTCAAGGCTCATATCTTTCCGAGGTGGGTAAAATGAGGATCCAGATTGTTGTGGGAAATAAGCTGACTCTGCAAAACGCTCAGGGAGGGCTGTAAAGCACCGTGAAGCAGTATATAAGTCTAAGTGCTTTTGCTATGTTCAGCATAATACTAATCTCAAATATTTATATTTATGGATTCCTACAATAGCAATAGCAATTCTAAGGCATGGTTTATTTTTATGTTTTGTATAAAGACAACCACAACCACACCATGCACATGGGGAAACATATGAAAAAGTTTTTCTTTTTCTTTCTTTTTCTTTTTTCTTTTCCCCTAATTACTTGCATTGGGATTATTCTTTTTACGATTTAGGTTGTCTGTATTTGTCGTCATGGATTGCACCAGTGAGGCTAAAACCAATTTCGTTGTATTTATTTTGTATAATGACAATAAAGGCTATACTATAATGAACATTGGTTGGCTGGGTTCATATAAAATGGTAAACCAGGACAAAAAAATATATGTTATACAGGTAGTCCTCAACTTAAAACTGTTTGTTTAGTGACCGTTCAAAGTTACAGGAGCACTGAAAAAAGTGACTTATGACTGTTGCAGCTTCCCCGTGGTTATAGGTGGGTTGGACCGGTTTGTCTGAACTGGTAGTGATTTGGTGACCTGGGTCGCTGGAACCGGCAGTAACCCAGGCCTGCCATATCCCCAAACCGGTTTTCCTATGGGGGCGCCATCTTGATTTTCGGTTCTGTGTATGCGCAGAACAATTGTAATTGCACACATTTTCCCCCACCCTTTTTTAACATTTTGCCTATGCGCAGACTTATTTGTGTGCAAATTCCTACAGGCATTTGCGCGCACTGAATCAGCAGTAATGCTGGGAGCAACTCACCCCTGCCCATGGTCATGTGATCAAAATTCAGACACTTGGCAACTGGAGCATATTGATGATGATTGCAATGTATCAGGGTCATGTGATCATCTTTTGGGACTTTCTGACCAGCAAATGGAGAAGCCAGATTCACTTTAAGAACTGTGTCACTAACTCAACAGCTGTAGTGATCTACTTAACAACTGTCGCAAGAAAGGTTGTAAAATGGGGCAAAACTGATTTAATAACCATCTTGCTTAGCACTGGAAATTTTGGGCTCAACAGTGGTCGTAAGTTGAAGACCAGCCGTAATTAGATGTAGTATGTGAGCCTTGTCTGAGACTATCCACTTTCTTGGAATTTTATTGGTTACAAAGAATGTGTGGATGAATACGGCAAATGTCTATGGACTTGATGTAATAGTTGGCTTTTTACTCTGGAGTATTTTTATTGATGGATGCCGCAATATTCTACAATTTCAAAACAGAACCAGGACTCTGCTGGATTGTACCTCTAGGCCAGCAGTCTCTTCTCACATTGGCCAACCAACTCCATAACTCACATCAACCAGCTGAACATTAAGCCTTTTAAAAAGCCTGTTGCAAATTGTCCTTGTCTTATGACCACTATAAGATTCCTCCTGATTTTTGGCTATCATAGACTAACACCGCTCCTCTGCCTGCATTGTCTAGTCTAGTACAATATATTACTGTCTGTTCTGATTAACATAAAATCCTCGGGTTCACAAATGAAAAAGGGTAGTTTTCATCGTCTTATAACTTTGTACCTGGAGATGCCAGAAATTAGCCTAGGAATAATTTTCTTGTACATAGAGCATTGGTCACTTGCCAAAGGTTTGGCCATATTTTTATTGATATTAGTTAACCATTGCAAGGTTTTACAGATGGGAAACTTGTATTGTTAAAAGGACAGAAGGGCAGGTTGTTTTAAAACAAAGCATTTTCATATTGTAGGTCAATCTTTTCATAATGTAATTTTTTTAAAAAAATGCTGTTTTGGCAGATTGAGCTTATCATTGATGATTTTTCACATTGATAGCAACCTGATTGATATTTTGGGGAAATATTATCCTGTTTCCGAAGAGAAGGTGTGGGAGGAGTAACCAATGGGTATTAACCCAGCCCTTTTGTTTAATCATGTTAAATCAATCATAATTGGCTGGACTTGCACAGCACATTTATTGATAAACCATCCTTTACAAATCTTAATGGCTGGCTTTGCAATATATGCTAAAGCTATGCCACAACTAAAGGACTCCAAATCCCAGACTTCCCTGGTTTAAGAGCTGCGGTGGCGCAGTGGTTAGAATGTAGTACTGATGAGTAGAAAATATTAGAATGTGCAGAAATGAATAGATTAAAGCTTGCAATTAAGGAGAAAGAACAAACTGAATATTACATGATATCGGAATTATTTTATCAATGGTTGGAGAATAAAAATGGAATTTAGAAATAAAAGGAGGAGATCAGTGAGATATAAATAGGTTGAGAGAGATGTAAACAATATGATTATTATTGTATTAGGATTATTATGTCATAAATAAATAAATAAATAAATAAATAAATAAATAAATAAATAAATAAATAAATAAATAAATAAATAAATATCTCACCAGGCTCAAGATTGACTCAGCCTTCCATCCTTCTGAGGTGGGCAAAATGAGAACCCAGATTGTTGGGGGCAATATACTGACTTTGTAAATTGCTTACATAGTGCTGTAAAGCACTGTGAAGTGGTATATAAGTCTTAAGTGCTATTGCTATTAATGGGATACGGAATCCTGCCCAAATCATTGTTGAAAGAGGGGAAAAATAAATCTTATTTTATTGTCTGGCAGAATCAAGTTGAAGAAAGTGGGGAGAGCTCTGATGAAGACAGCTCTGAAGAAAGCGATGAGAGTGACAAGGAGGCTTTGGAGACCAATAGTGAGGGGGAGGATGAACCCGACGAAAACTTCCGTGCCATGCTGAGGAATGTTTTGCAAGCCGAGAATGCATTGGTAGGTATTGGAGAAGAGACTTTTGTTTTTACTTAGGTAAACAGTGAGGCTCCTGTGTTGAGAGAAACACAATTGGGCATGAAGAATGTTCAGCTCGGCTGCCTGAAATGGGTATACAATATTAGGGAGGTGATGAGCTACTGTTTCCTGCTGGCATTGCACAAAGAGGTCTGCTGACTGTTTTACAAAGAAAATGTGCTCTGGCAAGTTTAATAATGCAACTGTAGGAAAGATACTTATTTTTTCATGGCATTTTGTAGGCAACACAGGTGTTTTATTCAGCTGGGGCTGAAAAGTAGGGACTACCCTTAAATCTTCATATAAATTCTGTTTATTGACTGAGAAATTGAACTTGTATCTTTCCAGTCAAACCCATCTCTTTAACCAGTATATAATCTTTGCCTATATACCATATATATTTGTGAATAAGCCTATTAGCAAATAAGCCAACCCTTGAGTGTTTAACCACAATACCATAAATATTGCCATCCACAGGTAAGCCCACCTGCACTTTTATAGCATTCAAGGGTCTGTTTATTCATGGATGGACTTATCTACACCTATAAATGGGAAATATATGTTAAAAAAGGATTATGGTATGTACTTGCAGATAAGTCCATCTGCGAATAAGCCAAACCCAATTTTTTAGGTCCATTTTGGCATCTAAAATTCTCAGCTTTTCTGTGATTGAATGTGGTAATACTAAATGCTTCAAAAGACAAAGAGGAATCAGAGTACTACTTAGTATAGGACTTATGGTATAATTGGCTAGAGGAAAGAGGGGAAAAACCAAACAGGATAGTAACAAAGAGAAAAAGAAAGATCAAGAAACTACAAAACAAATACAAAACTGCAGAATCAATAAGAGGGGGAAATACAAGATAGATTGTAGATGATATAAGAAATATGAGAGGATCAAATGTACTATATACACTATAGACTATATAGTATGTACGAAATAAGAAAATATGTATATAGATTTGGATATAGTTATATAAGATATATATGTATTGATAAAGGAAACACAATGGATATGTAAAAGATGTAAAATGTGCTGCAAAGACGATATGATTGCATAAATAAAATAAAAAAACTTGAAAAAAAATGCTCCAAGGATGGGTGTGCTATTGGTTATATGAGTTGAGCGCAAGAGCCAAAGTGAAAGTTAGAATATTTTGGATACGTGATATGACACCTGGAAAAATACGCCCTACTTCATTTAGTCCCCCAAATAAACCAAAATGAAAAAGGTCTTCTGTAGTCAGCCTAAGATTGAAAATCAGGCTTGTCAGATGCTACATCTTTTCTATCCTGCTCTACAGAGTGGTGAGTTGGTCTCTGACAGAAAGCCACTTGAAGAGACTAGAAGCATTTGAAATGTGGATTTACGGATGGCTGTTAAATATAAGTTGGGTTGACAAAATCAGAAATGAGGAGGTGATAAGCCGCCTGGGAAAGCCAAGGGAAATCATCAAAACCATAAAAAAGCAAAAGTTAGAATATTTTGGACATGTGATGCGACACCCAGAAAGATACAACATCCTTCACTTAATCCTCCAAGGAAAGATTGAAGGCAAACGAGGTCCAGGCAGAAGAAGAACATCATGGCTTCAAAATCTGAAGGGACTGGTTTGGACAAAACTCAGCAGCACTTTTTCGTGCGGCTGTTGATAACAATAGGATCACCAACATGATCGCCAATGCCCAATGATGGATATGGCACAAGAAGAAGAAGATATGAGTTGAGTTTGAGTATATGGGATAAATTTGCTATTGATATATTGGTACCTTTCTCCCACTTGATGTTCTTGTGACATGCTGGACTATTAAGTTTCATATTGAATTGCTGGGATGACCTATGAACCTTTGCTTTGTTGTCTCCTCCCCCCCCTTTTTTTTTTGGTTACATCCAAGGAAGGAGATGGTAGTGATGGGGATGTGGATGATGAGACTATGATGTCCCTCGATGAGAAGCTTTCATCCCTCTTTAGCGAGCAGAAGAAGCGCGTCCAAGCCAAGAAAGATGAGAAGGAAAAGTTGCGCAAGGAAAAAATCTTGCGTCGGGACTTCAAAATCAAGGTTAGAATCCAGGTTTTTGAGTTTATGACCTGTGGCTAGGATCAGCAATCATTTCAATTGTTGGCCACTCTTGCAAAATCTCTTGCGTGGCATACCACGTCCTCAAATACAAATAAGTGAAAATATTCAATTGCCAATATATAAATGGCCTAGAATATATATTAATATATTCTAGGCCATTAAATATAAATATATTAAATATATTTTTATTGTTTACATATAAATACATTGAATACAATGTAATTGTCCAGGTGTTCCACTTGCTTTGAAACAAAGGTAAAAACAAAATAATATATATACTATTATATACTATTTTGAACAGTGTTGTACACTAACCTCTGACCATCATATTCTAGTATATCAACTTATCTGTCATTCTAATACCTACATTCTATATCTACATACATAATGTCTCTCCATGTCTAACTAATCTGATTCTTTTGCATTCCCACTTCTACCTCATATTTCTAACCATTGATAGAAACTATCCCATGTAGCATAGTATTTTGTATCTCCGTTATCTTTTATTTTTAGTGTTAATCTGCTTTTGTTTTGTTTTGTTCTCTTACATTTGAGATCTTGTGCAGTCTTACAAGATGATGAAAATTTTGCCCTAGCTTGAACATTCTTCATTGTGCAATTTCAGTCACTGGATTATTTTAAAACATTGTTCCCCAAAAGCTCTCTAGAAATATTTAGGATTCTGTGTTGTCGGTTTCTGCCATGTAAGAAGCTCTGGGAATTATTTGAAAATCTACTTATATTGAGGGAGGCAAAGATAATGTTGACCAAAGAATGCCAAGGCCATTAACAGTTATTGTGTAATATAATGTTAAAGAGTAAATAACATCTCAGCCTTGGGAAAGTAAGCTAAGCATAAGAAAGAGACTTAAAATAACTATACCTTGATTCTGCATGAGATAAGAGAGGAAAGAAAAAAGTTTCTGTTATTATATCCTGTAACAATAGAGTTCCAGTAGATTTGTGACATCTATTTCTTGACCTCCCTCCCATACTTTGAATGGCTCACAACTAAGGCCTTAACAGCTGCAGTATTTTCAATGTAAGAGAATTTTTGTAGCTCAGGGTTAAACTGAGGAGTCCTTGGTGCTCTCTGAGCTTGGTTGTTTGCTTGCAGCCATTTCATAACCCAGCTAGGTAATATCAATACGAGTGAGTGTGGGATTTACTATCTGTTTTTACATAGTAGCTTTTTGTGGATTACGTAGCAATCAATAGACACATAGCAATAGCAATAGCAATAGCAANCGCGTCTGATTGGCTAAGACGCGCCTGGCTGCTGCCGAGCTGTCATTCGTAAGTCCGAGAACTTACGAGGCTACAACAGTGGGCATGGCCAACTCAAGGTCACTCAGGTCAATGGGTGCTTTGCCTTAGCTGTTACAATGTAATAAGGGTTAACCGGAGAGGGAGTTTCTGTAATCAGGGCAATAAAAATTAGGCTGGAAACAACATCAGAATGTTTCCTTCCTGCCTTCCTTACAGAATTAGCCCTGTAAAGTGGAAAAAAACCAAAATGAGATTTCTTTCAACAATTGGTTCTCCAAACTGCTTAGAAGGTTAACCTCCGGTTCTCCCGAATAGGTGCGAACTGGCTGAATCCCATCATTGCTCTCAACCCAGTTTGTGTGATAGATTAAACAGGTAAAAAGGAGTTCCTGCTGATTTTGCTCCACTAATCATTGCCAACTGCTCATCTCCGTTTCAAGGCCATTGAGCCAGCGCTGTCTGAAGACATTTCCGTGGTCATATGGCCAGCCTGATGTCACGGAGCACTGTTACCTTCCCACCAAAATGGTAACTGTTTATCTACTCACATTTACATGCTTTTCAATTAGGTTTGCAGGAGCTGGGATGAGGATGGGAGCTCACTCTGTCACATAGTGCTGGGACCTGGGCTGTCTGCTTTCCAGCAAAAAAGCCTAGCATCTTAACCGCTGAGCCACTATGCTGTCCCCAATAGGGAAAATTAATTAGTCCCAAACAACTACGAACCTTCTTGAGACTCCCCTCCTTCTATCTTTTTTTGATGACAGGGATTTGGTGTTGGCATGAGATTTAAGATATATTCTCCTCTCATTTAACAACCACTGTTTCAGTGCCGCTGTATTAAAAAATAAATGCATATTTATAGCAACCATCATACATGGCTTATTAAAATATATTTTCTCATTTTCTTTATTGTCAAAAATTGATGCCTTGATGCCAGGGGATCAGCAAGAAAACATTTTTATGTTTGGTGCAGAAAGTCAAAGAAAATACTTTTTTGACTGATTTCTGAAGACTTCAGATGCCCGAAAGTTTATATCTGCAATGCGGAAAATAACTTTTATTTTTAGACTGTCAAGTGTGGACATATCTCATATAGTTTACCCTGAAGTGTACCTGTGCGTGTTTGGTTTTGAAAGTTCCAGCCTCCATTATGGTTTTGGGTCAGTGTTTACTTGAGACAGTTTAAAATCACATTTGAACGTTTTAAACTATAAAAATAAGCATGTTTAATGTTCTGTCCAGAAGATTAAAAATAATGCTGACATTATCCCGCCAAATATTTGTTTGCACTTATTCCTATCTTGTCTTCCTGTCAGTTTGCCTTCAGTCTCATTGTGTACAATTAACATATTTCATGATAAGTAAATATTCTCCCAAAACCTTTGTGGCCAGGCCTCAGGTGGGAAGGGATGACTTCACTTCATAGTGATGCTAATGGAACAGAAATGGATTAAAATTACAGGCCTTTTTCACAACCTTTTATTAGAAGCAAGTGATTAAATGAGTTAAGAGCTGTTGTTCATTTTTGTCTTCCAACATGGGATGTTAAAAGATGTGCTGTATGTGGTATAATTATAGTTATCCATTTGCCTCATTGCCCTGTTCAGGAATGTGACTGTAATTCTGGCAACCCCTCTATGTTTGTATCTGACTTGTATGCTTTCCACCGCAGATGTCTAATTGCAGGCAACCATTTCAGTTCAAATGGATCATTAAAGTGGGAGCCATTTAGCACTGGCAACACAGAGCTGCACCCATGATTATGCATTTCATTAGAGAACTTCAGGATTCTAGTACTTACTGAAATTAAATCAATCTGATCCAGACAATCAAATTTACAACATGAATTAAATTGATGTGCTTATTCAACACTTAGGATCGAGTCTATTATAAATGCATAGGTTCATATACGTACATACAACAACAAATATAAACAATAAGAGTTTAGTCTAATGGTTAAGGCACCAGGCTAGAAAATGGGAGAGCATGAGTTCCAAGTCCCCCATTAGCCATGAAAGCCAGCTGGGTGACTTTCATTCTTTCTCAGCTCAACCCACCTTATGGGGTTGTTGTTGTGGGGAAAACAGGAGGAAGCGGTAGTGGATATGTTCGCCACCTTGAGTTGTTTATAAAAATAATAATGAAGGAATAGAAACGAATGAACAAAATATAATGAACAACATTCACAGCTATCAGTTCTTTAGGTGGTATTGGCTTTCTCAGGCATCAAGTGCTTCTCAACAACCTAGGTTGTCATAATGTGTTGGCATAGTAAATGTGCAGATCCAAGAAGTGCAGGCTTTTGAATCATCCATGTTTTTTCGGATGGCACCCAGTGTGCCAATAATCCCTGGGACCACTATGACAGATTTATGCCATATTATTTCAAATTTGATTTTCAGATCTTGATATTTTGTGATTTTCTCCAATTCTCTCTTTTATTCTACTATCTCCTGGTATTGTCAAATCAATTATCCACACTTTCCTCTTTTCAACCACAGTGAAATCTGCTAGGTGCTAAGATTTTGTCAATTTGTATCCAGAAGTCCCACAATATTTTAACGTGTTCATTTGTGTCTACTTTTCAAATATATGTTCCCACCTATTTTTCATTACTGACACATGATAATTTTTACAGATGTTGTAGAGAATCATTTTGATGAATGTGTCATGTTGTTGTTTATAGCCAGTTTGTGTGATCTTCTTGCATGAGCTGAATATTATATTTTTCTGTCTCTTTGCACAATCTGTACTGTGAATAATTTGATGATTTTTCAATTCTGGCCTTCTGCAGGCAGAATTAACCATTCTCTCTCTCTTTTCAACTTTCCTGCTCTTCTGGGTGTGGTTGTTATCTGTTCAGCCTGCTGTATGTATGTATGTATGTATGTATGTATGTATGTGTGTGTGTGTGTGTGTGTGTGTGTGTGTGTNAAAAATAAGAAGACTTCCCCGAAAATAAGGCCAAGGGCTTATTTCTGGGGTCAAATAAAAGACCCTGTCTTATTTTGGGGAAAACACGGTATTTCTCCTCCCCCCCGAAGTGCAGTTATTTACATTTGATTTCTAATTTCTAGTTGACCTCACACAGTCCAGAGAGGGACAGCCAAATGGCCAGATGTGGCCTGGGGACCATTAAATGCCCTGGTCTTTGTTTCTGGGATGTATTTGAGGATGTCACCTGAAGAGAATGGAAGAGTGAGGTGTGCACTGCAAAGAGAATGTTATTTTTTGGTGGACTTCAGTTCCTGATAGGTTCTTGGCAGAAACCTACTAAAAGCTCCCTGGTTGTCTTCTGTTCTTCTAGTGCCGTCCATTCCTCTGGATGTCATCTCGGCCTCCAACTCCTCCTCACAGCTGATTGTGAAATGGAACCCTCCGACTTACCCCAACGGCAACCTGTCCTACTATATTGTAAGGTGGCAGCAGCAGCCTCAGGATAGTTACCTGTACAGGCACAACTACTGCTCGAAAGGTAAGACCGACACGGAAGCATAGAGTCCAGGCCCCGACAAAACCTCTTTTATTAAATGAATGTGAATTCCTCTCATTCGCATTCAGCAAGGCCTGGCAAACAGTCCTTCAAAGCAATATTTATGACCACAGACCTTATCTCTCTTGGAAAGCTGCCATGTAAATGTTTTCCAAACGAGGTGCTGTGCAAGGAAAGACTGGGCACAGAGTCTCTGAGATTCACGGACAGATCTTCACACTCCTGAAATGAATCTAACGACCAACCGAGCTGAGGTGGCACAGTGGTTAGAGTACAGTACTGCAGGCTACTTCTGCTGACCACTAGCTGACTGCAATTTGGCAGTTCGAATCTCACCAGGCTCAAGGTTGACTCAGCCTTCCATCCTTCCGAGGTTGTTAAAATGAGGACCCAGATTGTTGGGGGCAAAGATGCTGACTGTGTAAACCACTTAGAGAAGGCTGTAAAGCACTGTGAAGTGGGGTATAAGTCTAAAGTGCTATTGCTAAGAAGGTAGATCCTGGTTGAGTGGTAGGAATGTCAGCTAAGCAATAAAAACAGGTGAATGAACTGTGATGGTGCAGTGTTAGAATGCAGTATTGCAGGCTATTCTGCCGACTGCCAGGAATTTGATCCTCACCGGGCTCAAGGTTGTCTCAGCCTTCCATCCTTCCGAGGTGGGTAAAATGAGGACCAGATTGTTGGGGTCAAAGATGCTGACTGTGTAAACCGCTTAGAGAGGGCGATAACACACCATGAAGCAGTATATAAGTCTAAGTGCTGTTGCTATTGCCTCTTTATGCAAAGCCCTTCGCTCACATGGCTATCGTCACTGATGGGAAGGAATGGCTGGGGTCAGAAGGCCTTCAGTGGGGACGTCACAGCTGTCGGGTTAGTCCACCGACCTCTTTTGATTTTACCTTTTCTCCTCCTCTTCCTCCTCTCTTTTGCCTTCCAAGATAAAGTCCCAATTCGGAGATATGCTGATGGGACCATAGATACTGAAGAAGCCACGGAACCCACCAAGTCGGAGGGGTCTGGTGGGGAGAAAGGGCCTTGCTGCACCTGTCCAAAGACTGAAGCAGAGAAGCAGGCCGATAAGGAGGAAGCCGAGTACCGGAAGGTCTTTGAGAATTTCCTCCACAATGCCATCTTTTTGCCCAGGTGAGGGGGAGGGGGAACCTTCCAGAAGCAAATGGGATCCAGTGGGGGTGGCATTTATTTCTCAGAAGGAAGTCCTTTGGTTTCATTGGTCATAATTCTTACATTCCACAAGGAGAATAAAAGAGGCGAGAAGGATTTGGCAAAGACATCGGCAGCTATGAGTGGGGCCAGGAGCCTTTGAAGAGGAGTTTGAGCATCAGGTGTTGCTTGAGAGGGGCTGAGGGCCTGCTGAATTTAACCCTTTCTGTGACATGTGAGCACAGCTTCCTCCCTCCCCTTTTTTCTTTCCTTCCTTCCTCTCTCCCTTTCTCCTTCACTCCTCCCTCCTTCTTTTCCTCCATCCCTTCTACCTTCCTCCCTCATTCCCTTCCACCTTCCTCCCTCATTCCCTTCCTTCCTTCCTTCCTGTCTCCCTCTCTCCCTTCCTTTCTCTTTCTCTCCTCCCTCCTTTTCTTCCTCCATCCCTTCTACCTTTCTTCCGCTCTCCTTCCCTTCCTTCCTCTTCTCCCTCCCTCCCTGCCTTTTGTTTCACCTAGTTTTGTTCCTTTCTGATTCCCTACCCACTGTATCTATTCCTTAATCCACCCCCATCCTCTTTTCTTCTTCTTTTTCTAAATATCTGTTTAGTGTGTATATGTGTGTGTATGTCTGTTGGGCATGAGGAAGGGAGGGAGAGAGGGAGAGGGAGAGAGGGAGAGAGAGAATTGTTAGTACACCTGGAGCTCCCTTAACTTTACAAGCAGGGTACCTTACAGGAAATTCATTTTAACTAATAGCTACCAATCCACTTCATATGGATTTTGTTTTGGTCCTGTCCCTGCTTGGGAGGGGGGAGAGGATACGGCTTCTGGTGGGATAGGTAGGCATACATATTCAAGCAACAATTCTGTACCCCCATTTCCTCTGTCAGAGGAGGTCTTCTCCTCCACCCAGCACCTTCTGGGGACTATTTCTGAGCTGAGCCCCCTTGAAAGATCTCTTCATCGCTAAGAGTCTCCCCGTTGAACAACCTTTTGTGTCCCCCATGTCCCCCTCCCCTCCATTCTTCTCTATGCTTTGACAGGTGCCAGAATGACTCAGAATTGGCTAGCTTTAGGGAGATTTGGAAAAGCAACTTTCCCAATAAAACTGTTAATATTTGAGGAGAGGCTCCTGAGCAGGAGAGCATCGCATAAACCTCTTTCTATGCTGAGCCGGATTAGCACCGCTGACCGAGACGCTCGGGGTCATTGCTGGTTCATGTGAAATCTGTATTTTTTGGAGTATAAGACGCACCCTTTTCCCTCAAAAAAGAGGGTGAAAATCTGGGTGTGACTTATACATTGAATACAGCATTTTTGGTTTCCCAAAACCCAGGCCCCTTTGCAAAAATGATGTGCATTTTTGCACCACCCCCCAGCCCCCAGGAACACTTTATAAGCCTCTTAAAGGCTACTCATGTCCTTTTTTGACAAAAAACAGGCCCGTTTTCACAAAAAATGGGCTGTTTTTGGAAGGTCTGCAAAGTGCAAAAANGAGGTGAAAGGGCCTCATAAGTGGAATAGCCTAGGGCCTCTTTTCATCCAAATCTGGCCCTACGTGTTAGGAGGAAACTCTATAATGGGGGGAACTGAACTTCCGGTCAGCTCCAGAATTGAGCAGGGGGCTTTCGGTTAGGACTTTGTGGCTTTGTTTTCTTTTCTGTGGGAAATGGGTCCAAATGGCTCTGAGTGTTTAAGTTTGCCGACCCCTGCCCTAGTCCTTCTTTTAATTGAGGACAAGTGCCAGCTACCTATGTAAATGAATAGTGGTGCAGTTCCCTATCCGATTATACAGAAATTACTGTCCAAGCCTTGACGGATTAATAACAAAACTTGCCCGGGCAGGTCTCTCTCTTAGATGGGGAAACTATATTGTAGAACTTTGATTGTATCCATCAGTTACAATTTGATAATGTCTACTTTAATTGCAGCACTCTGGATAGCTGCCACCAGTTGTCTTAGTGGAAAGGCTGATAGAGTCAATGCTGATTGGAAAGGGCCTACCTAATTAGTTTAGAACATAGTACATAGAATAATAGGGTCGAAAGGGATGTAAAAAAGTCAAATCCCCTGTTCAAGCAGGAAACTCTATATTCTGGAAAAACGACTGTCCATTCTGTTCTTGAATTCTTCCAGTGATCACCATCAACTTCTGTAGAGGCTGTCAGAAAAAGTTTTAGATTGGATCTCTTTTTAATGATCCTCCACCCTTACTTCTTGTGACATTTGTCTCACAAATATTTGTCATGGTGACTCATGATGCTGAGCTTGTCAATCAGAAAGGTCAGAAGTTTGGTGGTTTGAATCCCTAGTGCTGCATAATGGAGTGAGCTCCCGTTCCTTGTCCCAGCTTCTGCCAACCTAGCAGTTCGAAAGCATGCAAAAATGCAAGTAGAAAAATGAGGACCAATTTGGTGGGAAGGTGTTGTGGTCCAGCAGGAGCTGTTGGAGCTGCCGACAGACTCCAATAGCGAGGGACCC